GCGTGCGTACGTGCGCGTGCGCGTGCGCGTGCGCGTGGGCGTGCGAGTGCGCTTGCGTTTGCGCGTGCTTGTGCGCGTGCGCGTGCCTTTGCTTTTGCGCGTGCGCGTGCGCGTGCGCGTGCTCGTGCTCGTGTGCGTGTGCGTGTGCGTGTGTGTGATTGTGTGTGACTGTGTGAATGTGTGAATTTGTACGTGTGCGTGCGTGCGTGCGTGCGTGTGTGTACACGTGTGCGTGCGTGCGTGCGTTTGCGGATGTGCACGTGCGTGCGTGCGTGTGTGCGTGTGTGGTGTGCGTGCGTGTGCGTGTGCGTGTGCGTGTGCGTGTGCGTGTGCGTGTGCGTGTGCGTGTGCGTGTGCGTGTGCGTGTAGGCGTCGAGCGATGGGGCGTCGAGGCCACATGCGAACCCTGCCCCACCACCCCACGATTTCTAAAGGGGGAAGGCGGGGTCCACTTCGCTCGACTCCCGAGCGAAGTGAACCCCACCTCCCCCCTAGAATTTACACCAAAAAAACCGCAATCATGGGATGGTTTCGCTGGGGAGATCGACCGGGGACCCAGGAGCCCCGGAACCCAAAACAGAACCAATAACCGGGGAACCCGGACCCGGAAATCCCGGGAACCCAGCCTGCTTTCAGCTTCCGCTAGAACCTTTTCAGTGCAAGCACTGATTGGAGAATCATGGGGTTGTGGCGTACGGTTCGCTTGTGGCCTCCTAAGGGTGAGGCGGCGTGGGGGCAGGGCGCGTGGAGCGGCCGCTCCGGGGGCGGGAGAAACGCCCGCCTTCCCTTGCCGCGCCGCCGCTCGCTCCTCCCCTCAAGAAGGCCGCCTCCCTCGCCGCGCCGCCGCCAGAGGACGACGACGACGACGACGACGACGACGACGACGACGACGACGACGGCGACGGCGACGGCGACGGCGACGGCGACGGCGACGACGACGACGACGACGACGACGACGGCGGCGACGGCGACGACGGCGACAACGACGACGACACTAAGAGAACGTCAGCACTCCAAAACGATGGCCCACGAGTGAGCTTCTCGAGCCTTGCGCGGAGAGCCCACCGCCAACCATGGAGAACGCCAACCCACGAACCAGCGCTCTCGAGCTCGAGCTGCTGGGGAGGCCCGTCTCCACCTCGATTCTTCCCCTTCCACTTGAGGGTTGGCGGGGGATGAGGGATGAGGGGGGAGAAAGGGGGGGCGGGGCAGGATGGAGGAGGGAGAGGGGAGCAGGATGGAGGAGGGAGGAGGGTGGTCCCAAAGACGCCGAGACTTAGCTACTACGTGACAGCAACCTGACCACCCACCCAGAGGTCCAGGCTCAGACTGGGGGCTGCACCCAACAGTGACTCCTGCCGCAGTGCTCGGTCGCTCGGTGGGTCCAGGTGAAGAGATGCAAGCGCTGTTCAGGAGCGGCTGCGAGTCCAGCGTGTCGCTCCAGCCGATCCTGTTGACCAGGCTGCTCGGCAGGTACGCCCCCAGGATACCCGAGCTCGACGTGCACCCCACTGCGAGCGAGCCTGCGCCTGTTTCTTTCGCCGGCTGCTGCGGTGGAGTGGGCTCGGGGGGATCGTCGGGAAGCGGCAAGCGCAAGAGCGAGACCTGACGGCCTGGTCAGCTCTGGTGTCGTGAGCTCTGGACGCGAGGGGCCTCGGCCCGAGCACTGCAACCCCAGCAACCCCTCCTCGCCCCCCATGCGCCCTCCTCCCCCCGCTTCCTCGTCACCCTCTCCCCACTCGTGCTGCTCCCTGCCGCCCCATGCAAGCCGACCAACCACAACTGGGGGAGCTGCATTCCCAGAGGGCTCCTACACGCGGTCTAGTCAGAGGGGTCGGAGGATCGCGCCGCCTCCGCGATGCATTGGCGATGCATCACCGAAATCGGCGATGCATCGGCGACGTCGGCGTGAAGAACATTGGGCCCCTCATCGATCCGCATCACCGATGCATCGCTGATGCATCGGCGATGCGGCGCGACCCTCCGACCCCATCCACTCCGACCCCATCTGGCAGGCCTCGAGTTCCTGACCCCCCCGCCCGGGGGAACCCGTCGTATAGAGGATCCCTTGAGAGAGGCGGCGAAGTCGATGGATGCCCCAGGGAGGTCAGGACCATAGCTCCCCCGGCTGGGGCTGGTCTGCCACCCCACCCCAAGCGGCACCGCCACTCGGAAGTCCTGTATGCTGGACGGGCCCTGGCGCGCAAAGTGCGCACGCGGAAGCCCCGGGCGGAAGCACCGGGCAGCGCTGGCGTCGTCAGCCCGCTCGTCGACGTCGTCGCCGCCTCTGCCGCCGTTGTCGGCGCCGTGCCTCCTGCCTCCTGCCTCCTGCTTCCTCACGCCTCCTGCCGCCTCCTGCCTCCTGCCGCCTGTCGCCGTCCTCCTCCTGTCTCCTGCCGCCTGTCGCCGTCCGCATCCTGCCTCCTGCCTCCTACATCCTGCCTCCTCCTCCTCCTGCTTCTCCTCCTCCTCCTCCTCCTACTACTACTACTACTACTATTACTACGACTACTACTACTACTACTACTACTACTACTACTACTACTACTACTACTACTACTACTACTACTACTACTACTACTACTACTACTACTACTACTACTACTACTACTACTACTACTACTACTACTACTACTACTACTACTACTACTACTACTACTACTACTACTACTACTACTACTACTACTACTACTACTACTACTACTACTACTACTACGACTACTACTACGACTACGACTACGACTACTACTACTACTACGACTACTACTACTACTACTACTACTACTACTACTACTACTACTACTACTACTACTACTACTACTACTACTACTACTACTACTACTACTACTACTACTACTACTACTACTACTACTACTACTACTACTACTACTACTACTACTACTACTACTACTACTACTACTACTACTACTACTACTACTACTACTACTACTACTACTACTACTACTACTACTACTACTACTACTACTACTACTACTACTACTACTACTACTACTACTACTACTACTACTACTACTCCTACTCCTGCTCCTCCTCCCCCTCCCTCTCCTCCTCTCTGCCTCCTCCTCCTCCTCCTCAACCACGACAACTTGCTCATCCCCCCCTCCTTCTCCTCTTACGATCATCATCACCATCACCATCGCCATCGCCACCATCATCTGTTACGTCATCAGCATCATCAGCATCAGCATCCGCATCAGCACCAGCATCAGCATCATCACCATCACCATCAGCAGATTCAGCATCAGCATCAGCAGCATCATCGGCTTCATCATCATCATCAGCAGCATCAGCATCATCATCATCATCATTATCATCATCATCACCATCGCCAGCATCATCACCAGCAGCATCATCATCAGCATCATCAGCATCATCATCGTCATCAGCATTATCAAGACCAGCAGCAGCGTCATCAACATCATCATTAGCAGCATCATCAGCATCATGACCATCATCAGCACAATCGGCATCATCATCATCGTCATCCTCACTATCATCAGCATCGTCATCATCAGCACCATCAGCATCATCACAATCATCAGCATTACCATCACCATCACCATGACAATCACCATCACCAAAATCAACATTATCATTGTCACCACTACCACCACCATCGCCATTACCATCACCAACGCTATCACCACCACCATCATCGTCATCACCACCACCACCACCATCATCATCATCATCATCATCATCATCATCATCAGTATCATCATCATCATCAGCATCAGCATCAGCATCATCATCACCATCATCATCATCGTCAGCATCATCATAACCATCATCATCAGCATCATCATCATCAAAATCAAAAGCAGCATCATCATCAGCACCATCAGCATAATCATCATCATCAGCAGCATCAGCAGTATCATCATCAGCAGCAGCATCATTAGCATCATCCAGATCATCAACAGAATCATCGCAAAACAAAATTAAGCATCATCACCACAATGCTGATCATCCTCATCATTTGCATCATCATTATCATCATCAGCAGCAGCATCATCAGCATCATCAGCATCATTAGCAGCATGGTCACCCGTATCATCATAATCATCATCATCATCAGCATCATCAGCATCATCATCAGCAGCAGTATCATCATCAGCATCATCATCGCCATAATCTTCATCATCAACAGCATCAGCAGCAGCATCACCATCAGCATCATGGTCATCATTTTCACCATCATCGTCAACAGCAGCAGCTGCAGCAGTATCATTATCAACAGCATCATCAGCATCATAAAGATAATCATTATCAGAATCAGCATCATCATCAGAATAATCAACGTCATCATCATCATCATCATCAGCAGCATCATCAGCAGCATGATGACAGTATGTATCGTCAATCTCATAATCAGCAGCAGCATCGGCAGCAGCAGCATCAGCATCAGCATCATCATCAACAGCATCATTGACATCATCATCGTCTCATCATCAGAGTCATCATAAACACCACCATCATGATCATTATCATCGCCATCATGTTCATCATCATGATGATCATCAGCAACATCATCGTCAGCATCATCATCAGCAGCATCATCCGCAGCTGCATCAGACTCATCATCAGCAGCAGCATCATCAGCATCATCCATCGTCATCGTCGTCGTCATCGTCGTCATCACGCTCATGCCCATGCGTGCGCTTGAGCGCGGGCGGGAGCCTGCATGTGGCGAGTCAGGAGGAGACCCGGGTGCCCTCCCCCTCCCGATGCCCTCCAGCGAGAGCGAGGCAGTCGGCGACACGCAAGAGTGACCCTGGGCAGGAGTGACCTTTGTTGCGCGACTTGCGGTGGCCACGGGGAGGCCGAACCCGAGCGCGCAAGCCGCCGCTACCCATCGCCTCGCATTTTGCCCTCTGGGAGCCCCCAGGTGTGCCCGCACCAGAGGTCCCTCCTGCGAACGTCACTCCTGACGCATAATAGCCGAGGCAACACAATGGGGGGGGGGGGGCAGCCCCGCCAGCCCCCGAACGGCAGCCAGGGTCGTCTGCTGGGGGGGGCGGAAAACGGCCCAGGATGGAAAAGCGGTCCCGGTGAATGGGTCCAGACCTCTGGGGGTCGCGTCGCGAAAAAGTCACGACGCCGGGGGTCTGGGTAGAGAGAGAGAGAGAGAGATCACGACGCGCGCGCGCGCGCGCAAGAGCACCCTCAGAGCGGGACCCCCTGGGCCTCCGCAGAGGCTCGGGGGTCCCAGGGCGGTGCGGTGACGGAGCGTGCAGGAGCCTCGAAACTCCGCAAAGGCCCGTCGCCGCACGGCCCGTCGCCGCTTTTGGGACCTCGGAGGCCCCAGGCCGCCCCAGAAATCCTCGGAGACGAGCCCGGGTCCCCAAACCATGCGGCCGCCCCGAGCCCCCACGGACTCCACCACACAACGAGGTCGCCGCACCGTCTGGGGGCACCCGGGAGGCCACTGCTCGGATCACCGCCAGGGTTGCTGAGGGGACGAGGGGTTTCGAAAGTGGATGGTGAGGTGGGTTACATCTGGCCTAACCTAGCTTATATGCACTGAGCGGCTTGAAGGGGTTTGGTACCCACTTCGCCCAGACAATTGCCCCCCTAAGCCGCTTAGGGCACTTGCAACCTACTTATGAGCTAGGTTAGGCCAGATGCAACCCACCTTAGCATCTACTTATAACCCTGCCCATCCCCTTAGCAACCCCCGCAGTAATCCAAGTATACGTCGGTCGGGAGAAGCAGGTAAAAACGTGAAGCAGGAATGGCTCGCGACAAAAGAGGACCCCTGGCTCTGTGGGAGGGGGCCCGAGCGAGAGGGGCCAACCACCTCAGGGACAGGGGGGTCTCCTTTCTGCAGATGCATCGCACCACACCGCCCAGATTGATGATCCTGAATGCAGAGACTAGAGGCCTTCTATATGGGGTCCGAGTAGATGGGGTGGGAAAACCTCGCCGCATCGCCGATACATCGGTGATGTATCGCCGATGCATCGGCCTTGCACTAGCGACGTCGGCTGTACATCCGCGACGTCGGCGTGGAGAAAGTTGAGTCCTACATCGAGCCGCATTGCCAGTGCATCGCCGATGCATCGGCGATGCGGCGCTATCCTCCGATCCCATCTACTCCGACCCCATCTGGGAGGCCTAAAGTAAAGAGACGGAGACGAGGCCACGTCTGCACTGTGTTATCAGGGCTAGGGTGGATACAGTAGATTGGGTCCAGGCCCACCCAGAGAACAACAAGGCACAACGAAATCGGTTCTTGAGGCAGGAAGGCGGTTGTGAAGTAGAGTGGGATCTGGGAATCCACGAAAAACTACGTTCAACGACCGACGTGTACGGGCTGTCGTGGCCGGGCCGGCTGCCGTGGCCAGGCGGCTCCGCTTTTCGGGTCCGAGGCACTGCCGCGCCGTTGCCGCGTCGGCGCCGACTCGGAGCCATCGTGCACGCTCCTGTACATGGATGGTTGGAGAGACAGAGAACCACGCAAGCATCAACTTTCGAGCGCCCGCAGACGAGTCCTCCACCAGGACTCGGTCTCCTCCCCGCACTAGCGGAGAAATAGCCCGCGGACGTCTGAAAGCGTGTGTACGCGGTGTTCTGCCTCTCTGATAGTTGCCGCTGGCTCTCTTTATTTGGATTCCTGGTTGTCAGGCCCAGCCAAAGAGCGACAAAAGCGTGCAGATATACAATGGAGGAATTCAGGAGAGTGAGCCGGATAATGAAAAAATACAGCAACAGACACGTGCACTCTGAGGAATCGATGGCGGGCACCAAGCCGTCTGACACATCTCCCGATCGCAAAAGAATCGCCCGCACGGCAAGAGGAATGACCCTTGTAGTAGGAAGCACAGCCGCTGGAAGTACACCACACCAAGATGCATTGCGCATGTGCAGGAGTTGAAACTCATCGATGGCGAGCGAACGTGTGGAAAGCAACGCAGAACGTCGACGACAAAACTGATTCAGACACGCAAGTTAGCATGACAAGAACAAATGAGGAAATGATGCAGGCATCAATGATTCCTTCGTAAGTCGACGAGGGGATGAAGGCGTGGATCCCACCTACTCACATGAGCTTAGCTCAGGTGCGGACATTGCCATGGGTCAGCTTCCTGCCCACGACTGCATGATTGACCAGCTTCTCTCCTTCTCCACTGAAGGGTCACTGTCTGCCGCTGCTCTCCTCAACCTTCGGCGTGCATTCAGCAATGATCCAACCAAGAGCAACGCTGACAAGTGCAAGACCAGACATGATGCCACTGGGTGCCCCAGTCGCACGGTCTAAATTGGTGGCGGGGTCCTGACAGGACCTCCCCACCCTAACAGGGGGGCACGTAAAAACCTTCTCTTGAACCCCCAGGGGCACTCTCAAACTTCGATTGAATGTTCCTGAGCATACCTGCAAGTGCCTGCATGGTCGTGTCCGCTTCGTGTCGATCAGCGAAGCTCGGCATTCGCTTCTCTTGCCATGGCATCGACCCCATAAAACGCCACTGCCATCCAGGAGTCCTTCTGTTTCGCAGTGCGTCGGCGTAATACTCCGCCGCGCATCTACCATTAGCTGTTCAGCAGCATGAATGTCCCCCTCCGCTCCCGCATTTACTGCTCACACTGGCAACGGTATGTGTTCGCACGTGCACAGCGCGGACGCATGATCAAATGACACTTACAAAGAGTCGCCACTGATAATCCACTTCCGCCGCGTCGCGCAGCTTTCGGGCAACTGTCAGGCATGGCAGAATTATTAACATGGGTCGACATGCTGCAAAGCGATCTGGAGGCGATGACGTGGGCAAGGAAAAGTCCGACCCATGACCAAGAACTGACATGATGGGACCGATCTGGATCCAGACCCAGGCACTGCCAGTGCAAGAAACCCGATCTTGGCGGCGCAGGGTACGATACCTGGACGATGCATGCCGATTACCGAATCGCATACGCCCGTACCCTGCGTGCAGCACAAGGCTTCCATGGCGGCCGGGCCGCGCAGGTGATGCCACAAGCTCGCGCCCAATTGCCCTTACGAAAAAAGGCCATGGGGGTCACACACGTCCCACACGTTGTCGCCAGGGTAGGCATGCCTCTTTCTCCTCTTCTTCCTCCTCCTCCTCCCCCATCTACTCCTCCTCCTCCTCCTCCTCCTCCCCTCCTCCCTCCTCCTCCCTCCTACATCATCATCATCATCATCATCATCATCATCATCATCATCATCATCATCATCATCATCATCATCATCATCACCGTCGTCATCATCATAATCACCACCACTACCACCACCGCCATCACCATCGACATCACCATCATCATCATCACCATCAGCAGCAGCATAATCATCCTCATCGGCATCATCATCATCACCAGCAGCAGCAACATCAGCAGCATCATCATCACCACCATCACAACCATCATCATGATAATCATCAGCAGCAGCATCAGCATCAGCATCATCATCAGCATCGTCATCAGCATCATCCTTATACTCATCATCATTATCAATGTCATCATCATCATCATCAGCATCAGCATCATCATCCTCATCACCATCATCCTCATCTTTATCATCATCATCAACAGCAGCATCATCATCACCACCATCATGATCAGCATCATCATCATCGTCGTCATCATCATCGTCGTCATCACCATCGTCATCACCACAATCATCATCGTCGTCATTCTCAGCAGCAGCATCATTATCAGCATCATCATCAGCATCACCAGCACCATCCTCATCGTCATCATCATCTGCATAAGCATCATCATCGGCATCCTGATGAAAAAAATCATAACAATATCAATAGAACACGAATGACTCTGACAATGATGATACTAATCGTCATCTCGTCCTCATCGTCACAGTCATCAGCATCAGCATCAGCATCATCATCATCATCAGCAGCAGCCTCATTATAGCCATCAGCAGTATCATCATGATCGCAACCATCATAATCATCAGCAGCATCATCAACAGCATCATCATCCTCACCATCGTTAACAACGGCATCGTCATCATCATCGGCAGCATCAGCATCATGACCATCGTCATCACCACCATCAGCATCATTATCATCGTTGAGATCATCAGCATCACCATCATCATCTTCATCAGCATCAGCATGGCTATCGTTGTCATCATCACCATCATTAGCAGCAGCATCATGATCAGCAGCAGCATGATCATCATCGTCATCGTCATCATCAGCAGCATCATCATCAGCAGCAGCATCATCATTATCATTATCATCATCATCGTCGTCAGCCGCAGCGGCATCATCGTCGTCGTCATCAGTATCATCATCATCAGCATCAGCATCAGCATCATCATCGTCGTCATCGTGGTCGCCGTCGCCTTCAGCATCATCACCGTCGTCGTCGTCGTCGTGAGCATCATCATCATCATCATCACCATCAGCAGCAGCATCGTCGTCGTCATCATCACCATCATCAGCAACATCATCATCCTCACATTCATCCTCGTCGTCATCGGCAATGCCACCATCATCATGATGATTATCATCCTCATCATCATCATCATCATCAATATAGCCGCCGCAATCGGCAACAGCATTGACTTCGTAATCACCACCACAACAACCATAAACACCATCACCACCGCGCCTACCAAGAGGATCCCGGGAAACTCCAAATATAACGTCAGGCGAACTTTTGAGATCCCAAGGGGTCGGCGGTGCGGCGTAAGCCCTAGACTCCCCGAAGACAGACGGAAGCCGGCGAAAGCCCCCGAAAGCCGACGAGAACCACCAAAATATTCCCAAGACCGCCGAGGACCGTAAGGCCATCGACAGTGGGCGAGCCTCCAAAACCGCCGAAAACCATCAGAAATCATCACAAGCACAACAGCCAATAACAATCTAAGCCTTGAGCAAACCGCCGAGCACATCCATGAAGACCTCACGAGACAATCGGCAACCGTCTGGAGACCTCCCAGATGGGGACAGAGAAAAAACTCAGCCTTGAGCAAACCGCCGAGCACATCCATGAAAGCCTCCCGAGACAATCGGCAACCTTCTGGAGACCTCCCAGATGGGGACAGAGAAAAAATAGGGTCGGAGGGCCGCGCTGCAGCGTCGATGCATCCCCAATGCATCGGCGATGCATCAGCGCATTGGCGTCGAGAAAATCTGGCTCCACATCGAGCCAAATCGCAGATGAATCGGCGATTCGGCGGAATTCTCCGACCAAATCCAGTCCCACCCCACCTGTGATGACGGCGAGACCGTCCGAACACCTTCGAACAGCGCTTGCTCGGCGCTCGGGCTTCCCTATCGCCGGGCGCTCGGTCGCGTCAGCACCGACGACCATGGCCACGGTCACGGCCACGATTGTGACAAGCACCACCACCACCACCACCACGACGACGACGACGACGACGACGGCAACGGCGGCGGCGGCGGCACCGACCTCGGCGGCAACGACGACGGCGACGGCGAGACGGCGAGACGGCGAGGGCGGCGGCGGCGACTGCGGCGGCGGCGGCGGCGGCGCCCCGCGCCGGCCCTCCCAGCCCGGGCCCTGCCTCGTCGAGGAGCCCAGAGCACGCCGCCGCGCCGCCGTCGCTGGCGCCTCGCCTCCGGGGGAACGGGGCGCCCGGAGGCGCCCCCGCCGAGGGGGGGGCGAGGGACGCGCCGGGGGGGCAGGCCCCGTGGGGGCCTGCGCAGGCGGGCGAAGACGTGGTCGAGGGATAGAGCGAAAAGAACTATGCACATACACCGATTCTGGCCAGGCCCATCCTGAGCCCAGGATCGGTGCATACGCCCTCTTACCTTGGCCAGGAAGGTATATGCACCGATCCTGGGTCAAGGATGGACGTTGTCAGGATCGGTGCATGTGCATAGTTCTCTTCGCCCGAGAGGGAGAGACGTGCTGCCCCGCGTGAGGAAGCTGCGTCGGCGAACCGAGATGACAGAGCCCAGCCGAGGGCCGGCTGATGATGCCTCACTCCCACCAGGGCCACGGAGACTGAAAATGATGGGGTCCTTGTGCCGAAGACCGAGATTGGCATCCGCTCCAGGCACCGACGGGGCCCCTTGAATGAGCCCTGGCAAAGACCCGACGACACCCCGCGCCCTCCTCCCGCCCTCCCCTGCTCTACCTCTGCCTTCCCTCCCTCCCCCGCTTGCCCTCCCCTGCAACTGGTTGGGTTGTCTGCGGGCCCGCCTGGAATGGCGGCCCGAAAATGTCGGCCAACGCGATAGAGTTGTTGTGGCGCCGCGGGGGCGGGGTAGAATTATGCCACCCCAAAAAAGCCTGATTATATACCCCACCCACGGATATACCTCACCCGCGGAAGGACAAGTTCGAAGGCGGCGCGGACGCTGGAGGTCCGTCGTGGACTGCTCCGCCTGGAGAGCCCAGATACTCCTAAGTGTTCAGGAAAGACTGGGAAGAACGCAAGAGGTGTCCTCGTTTCACGCGATGCACTTTGTCATGCGACGCGCGGGGGCAAATAAACGTATTTCGGTTTACAAAGACGCAGGGAACCAAAATACGACTTGCACAATGATAAAATCCACCCCGAAAACGTAAATGTCTGTGGGTGGTCGTGGGCCCGGACCAACCTCCTCGCGTTTTTTGAAAGAGAAAAAAATGAAGGCTTTGTCAAATGTTCGGCCTCCCGGAGCCCTCACCCGGCCCAGGCACCGTCAAAAAGCAAGCTGGGATGAAAAGTCGGTCCTTGGGAGGGAATCGAGGCCTCTGGAGGCCCAGGAGATCCCGTGTCCCGATCTGTTCACCACAGGGATCCCCCTGAAGCCCCGACCCTTTCAAGAAGGCCGGGCTCTCAATCCCGAGTCGGTCTTGTACAGTCCTTGGGCCCTGTGAGGGCCCCCAGACGCCGCGAGCAGCAAAAAAGGCGCCGTCTCGATGCTGTCAACACGCAGGAGGGCAGGGCTGAACCTAAACTGTGTGTTTCGTTTTCGTTTCGTTATCGTTTCCCTCGCTTTTGTCTCGAATCTGCCTTTACCGCAAAACGAAGTCGAAACGAAAACGGCCCGCGAAATCCCAAAAAAACACAGTTTAGGCCCAGCCCTGCTGGAGGTCTGGGGACAAAGTCGTGAACAAAAATCTACACGGCTCGCTGGGGGCGTCTTGCGATCCACCAAGGCTGGCGTCAGGCGCCTGGCGGCTGTGGCTCCTGCCCTTCGCTGAGCCAGCCAGTGATGGCAACAGCGGCGCGCTGGCATCTGAAAGCTGCTCAAACCGAGGTTTGGGGCGTGTCGGGGGCGGGCCTGTACACAAAAAGGCTCGAGGATCAGCCCCCCGAAGCACAGGGGTGGGGCTGGGGCAAAGGTGGCGTGGGGAGGCGAAGCGCTCCGAAGGGCCCCCCATGGACAAAGGGGGCGCGTGAAAACGGGAGCATCCAGCTGGGCCCGCTCCCCGGCCCCAGCCGTGGGATGACCCCTCCCCCCCCGGGGAGCCCCCGACGGGTGGCCTCCTGGAAGCCTCGGGAGGCCTCCGGGGGGCGGCGGCCCCTCCTGAAGACAGCAGCCCCCCGGGCGGCCCGGGCGGGCGCGCGCCGCCCCCCCCAGCGGGGGCAGCGGCTGCAGCTGCGAGGGGGGGGCGGCGGCGACATCAGCTCGGGAGCGGGACGGCGGTCGCGGGGGACCCGCGAGCTCGTCAAACCACACGGGGCTTCAGGCGTGCCACTGGAGTCGCATGTGGCGAGCACGCCGTGGACCCCCAACGGCTCTGGCCGCAGAGCCCGATCCTCCACCGTGCCGCGAGGCACTGCCCGTGATGTCCTGGGGACGGGTGCCAATGACCGCCGTGGCGCTGCTGTGCTGCAGCCTGCAAGAGCCGGGCTCGCATCCTCGCCATGCCAGCACGTCAAGAGCACAATCACGCCGGGTCACTGGCGTGGCTCCCACGGGAAGAAAGGGAGAGGAGCAGAACGGTTCCAAGCATGCATGCACCACTCCTGGCCAGGCCGATCCTGGGCCCTGGGTCGAGGCCCGGATGTTGATGCACCGATCTTGGGGCCAGGATCGGCCTGGCCAAGATCGGTGTTGGTTAAGGTCGGGCATGTCCTCCGGCAGGCGGACTTTGGAGGAAAAACTAAAAACAGTCCAGAACTATTCAAACATAGTCCAAAACAATCGAAAAATCGTCCCCTCTCTCTATCTTTGACTATGTTTGGGTATTCCTCCTGTAGACCCTAAGTGTTGGTGTACAGTTGGCGTCCTTTGAAACAGGGGCGAGAGGAAGGGGCGGTGGGGAAGGGCGGCGGGGAAGGGCGGTGGGGAGGGGCGGCGGGGAGGGGCGCCATGGGGGCGAGCTGCTGCACAAGGCCGTGCTGCCCCAGGCCGCAAAGGAGCCGCATGCAACCGCGGCGGCGGCGAAGACACGTGGAGGAAAGAGAATGATGGAGGGGCCCAGGGACACACAATGGATGCACACAAATCCCAAGACGGCCCAAGAGGCTTCCAAGACCGCCCCAAGACGGCCCACGAAGCCTCCAAGAGGGCCCCAAGACGACCCAAGATGGCCCCAAGACAGCCCAAGAGGCGCCCAAGACGGCCTATGAAGCCTCCAAGAGGGCCCCAAGACGGCCCAAGATTGCCCCAGGACAGCCCAAGAGGCGCCCAAAACCGCCCAAGAGAGCCCCAAAACAGCCCCAAGAGGGGCCCAAGAAGGGGACCAGAAACCGAGAAGTCCAGCCTTCAGCCCCAAGAGGCCCCCAGGAGGCCCCAAGAGGCCCCCAAGAGGCCCCAAGGAGCCCCTAAGAGGCACCCCAAGAAGCCCCAAGATGCCCCCAAGAGGCCCCAACACGGCGCCAACACGGCCCCCTAAAGGCATCAAACTGCCTCCCAAAAGCCCCTGAGAGGCCAACCACGAGAGCCCAACCAACATCCGTGAGGCCTCTGACCCGCCACCCGCCGCCTCCGAAAAATGGCAGCCGCCCAACCGCATGAATACACACTCACACACAAATCCCAGGATTCCCCATATTTGTTCGTACTTTCTGGGTTTTTCGCTCCCCCGCACTGCCTATAGTTTCCCACATCTTCCTGGGTATCGACGATTACCTGGGTCAGTGTGTATTTTCCCCTCCTGAAAGGAGCAGGATGGGGGATGACGGAGGGCACTAAGGTGGACGAAGGTCGGCGGCCAGCGAGGGGGGTTGGAGAAGGAGAAGGCCCTCTTAAAGGCGGCGGGGCTTCTCAGAAGCCCTCGCGCCTTCTGAAAAGTGTTCTGTGTCTTCGGGGAAGGCCCAGGAAACATCTCAGAAGGCGCGGGGACTTCTGAGCCTGCTGAGAAGGCCCGCTCCTTCGCACTTCCCCCCCCATCGCTCGCCGTCGAGAAGGAGCACGCAGCATGGAGCATGGCTTGGCCTGTCTTCAAAGGGGCGGGGAGGGCGCAGGACAAGGCCAGAGGAAGGAGGACGGAGGCAGGAGGGGGAGGGGAGAGGGGCAGAGAGGCGGAAGAGGGAGGGAGGGGAAAGGCTGAGGAGTAAATGAAAGGAAGAAGGAGAAGAATAATAATAAGAATAATAATAATAAGAAGAAGAAGACGAAGACAAAAGAGGACGGAGGAGCAGGAGGAGGGGGAAGGGAGGAGGGGCGGAACAGCAGGCGGAGCACGAGGACGAGGACGAGGACGATGACGAGGACGAGGGCGAGGACCACGACGACGACGACGACGACGACGACGACGACGACGACGACGACGACGACGACGGCGGCGGCGGCGGCGGCGGCGGACCTTGCGGTCAGGCGCCGGCGCAGGGCGCGCGTCAGCAGCGCGGCGGCCCCCACCCAGCAGCAGCCGCCCAGCGCCGCGGCGGCCGCCGCGCGCCCCTCGGCGAGCGGTGGCGCGGGGGGGGGGCCGCCGCCGCGGCTCGCGTGGGGTGGCCGCCGTGGCCGAGCGACGTCGCCGCCGAGGCCGTGGCCGGTCGTGGTCGCTGCAGTCGTCTCCGCGAAGGCCGCCGTCGTGGCGGTGAAGACGACAGCGCCGGGCGAAGGCGGCGGCGGCGGCGGCGGCACACGGGGTGCCGTCGCCGCCACCGGCTGCACACGCTCGGGGGGTCCTAGAGCCAGCTCGGAGCCCAAGGTGTCCTCAGCTTCCCGCGCCACTGCGGAACCCCCGGAAACCCCAGGCCCCTTTGCCTCGCGATGGGGGTGCTCTGGAGGCCAGCTGGGCCTCTCCGCGCATCCTGGGGGCACCCTGGACCAGGGGCACCTTTAGCACCCCCCGACCGGCCGCTGTCAGATGTTGGCAGCGCGCACAGGAGAGGAGGGGGGAGGCTTCTTCGCAGGAGGCTGCTTCTCAGAAGGCGCCGGCCCTACATCTGTGGACGAGGCCCGCGCCTTCTAAACAGCCTTCCATCCTCCCCCTACCCCCACGATTCGAGGCCTAGAAATGGGCACCAACACCAACACAGGGGGGTGCCTCCACATCGGGAAGATGATCCTAGATTTCGGTGTTGGTGGCAATATTTCGGTCACCTTGGAAGCCAGAATATTGCCGCCATCACCGAGATCGGGATCTTCTTCCCTCGGTGGAGGCACACCGCCGATATTGGTGTTGGTGTCAACCTCTAGGCCTGCGGCACGACCCGCCGCCGTCAGAGAGGCTGTCGCAGAGGCCGCCAGGGCCATCCCCCGGAGGGCGGCGCCTCGGCGGCGCCAGCCACTCCGGCGCGCGGGCCGCGGGCGAAGGCCGACTGCGGGCGAGGGGGGGGGGGCAGGTCGCGCCGCTTGCCGCCTCGCTTGCCCCCGCCTGCCCCACCAGCCCCCCAGCCTCGCCGCTGTGAGAAGGGAAGGGGGGGATTCGGGAGAATCGGGGGAGAGGAGGCGGAGGAGGAGGAGGAGGAGGAGGAGGAGGAGGAGGAGGAGGCGTGCTCTAGCATGAAATCCGATCAACGTCAAAGAGGAGGAGGAGGAGGAGGAACTCTGCACATCGGGGGAGAGGTCAGATGGGGGGAGAGAAGGGGAGGAGGACGAGGAGCAGCAGCAGCAGCAGCAGCAGCAGAAGGATATGGGAGGAAGAGGAGAAGAGAAGGGGGAGAAGGAGGAGGAGGAAGAGGAGCAGGAGGGGGAGGAGGAGGAGGAGGAGGAGGGGAAGGAGGAGGAGGAGGTGGAGGAAGAGAGGAGAGGGGGAGGGAGAGAGACAGAGGAGCAAGAGGAGCATGAGGAGCGGACAGCGGCTGCAATGCTCCGAAGGAGCGGGGGGGGAGGTGGAGAAGGGAGGAGGGAGAGGAGGGGACGGAAGAGGGAGGCAAGATGGGAGGGGGAAGAGGGGAGGGGGAAGAGCGGCAGAACACAGGAGGGGAAGAGAAAGGAGGGGGAGACTGGGGGGAGGAGGAAGGAGAAAGAAATAAGATACAAGAAGAAAAAGGAAGGAGGGGAGAGGGGGGAGGAGGAAGGAGAAAGAAATAAGATACAAGAAGAAAAAGGAAGGAGGGGAGAGGACAAACAAGAGCAGGGAGAGAGGGGGGGGCTTGCGTATTTCTTTCAGAGGGGGAGGAGAGGGAGGAAGAGGAGGAGGAGGAGGAAGGAGGAAGAGGAGGAGGAGGAGGAGGAGGAGGAGGAGGAGGGAGGAGGGAGGAGTGCACAGCCTCGGGGGGACGACCGACGACGGCGGGACGAGGTGTCATCCCTGCAGAGCGGCAACAAGGGGGAATAAGGGAGGGAGGGAGGGAGGGAGGAGGAGGAAGAGGAGGAGGAGGCGAGACGTCCGCGGTGCAATAGGGGATCCCCTCAGGAAGGGTGAGGCCCGCCGTGCCGTAGGAGCGAGTGGTGGGCTGAGTGCAGCGGGGCGAGTGGGGAACGGGGCAGGAAGACGAAGAGGAGAAGGAGTACGAGGATGAGGGTGGGAAGAAGAGGGGGAGGAGGAGAGGGGGAGAGGGGGAGGGCAAGCTAGGTGCGCTCGCGTCATATCTGACGTCCTACCCCTCCCTCCCATCCCTTACCATGGCGCTGATTTCTCTATCCGCGTACGCGTGTCGTAGCGGACCTGTGGCTCCGCGCGCGCGTGCGTAGTGGGTGGTGGTGCGCGTGCGTGCGTGCGTGCGTGTGTGCGTGGTTGTGGTGGTGTGGTGGTGGTGGTGGTTGTGGTGGTGGTGGTGGTGGTGGTGGTGGTGCTGGTGCTGGTGGTGGTGGTGGTGGTGGTGGTGGTGGTGCTGCTGGTGGTGGTTGTGGCGGTGGTGGTGGTGGTGGTGGTGGTGGTGGTTGTGGTGGTGGTGGTGGTGGTGGTGCGGCGCGGTGGTGGCGGGCGGATGGGCGCGCGAGAAAGAGGCCCGCGCTGGGGCGAGAATGCCATCCTGAACGACGGAGGCCAAACACCGATCCGAAAATGAGGTCCACGCTGCAGCGGGAGCACGATTCGGAACGATTCGGGAGCGGAAATGAGGCTGGCGCCTCAGCGAGAGCAGCATTTTGAAAAAACGCAGGCGAAAACCCAACTCCCGGGAATCCTGTGCGCAAGAAAACAGTACGAGGAGGGGGGTCGGGCTACTCCCAGCACGCCATCAGGGGAAGAGGGAGAGTAGTATTCATATTGAGTAATTGTGGAGGGGGAGGGGAAGGGGGAGGGGGGCAAGCTCGGAGGAGGACTGCGAGCAGGCAAAGCGGAGAGGGGGGAGGGCTAGCTAGGTGCGCTCGCGCCACAGCTGACATCCTGCCCCTCCCACCCATCCCTTCCCATTGCGCTGTGTGTTCTCTCTACCCGCCCACGCGTGTCATAGCGGACCTGGAACTCCAAACAGGACCCCTATCGTGTTGTGCGCACTGGGAAAAGCGAGCGGAGCTCAGTGGAGGAGGAGGAGTGGCGGATGAGCAGGAGGACGAGCAGGGGGAAGAGGACGAGGACGAGGATCTAAGGTGGAAGGCGAGGACGAAGAGCGGCACCAGCAGGGAGCTGGAGTGGGAGGGAGCGGGAGGAAGGAGGACCAGGGGGAAGGCTGAGGGGGGGAAAACTCAGGGGACACCAGCAGGGAGCTGGAAAGGGAGGGAGCGGGAGGAAGGAGGACCGGGGGGAAGGCGGAGGAGAGGAAAAATCAGGGGGCGCGACGAAGGTGAAGCACGGCTCGGACCCAGAAAGAGTGGCCCCCGCGCGGGTGCGGCCGCGCCCAGTCTGTGAACGACGGGGGCACGGCGCCGCGCGGAAAAACACGGGGCACGCCGCAGCGGGAGCGCCATGTTGGAACATCGAAGCAGGCGGGCTGCAAAGCAGACATTCGGCGGTGGGCTAACCTCCCTTTAGTAAACCTCCCCTTCATGAAAACGGCCTGGGACCGAAACCGACGGACCTGGACCCGCAACAAATGACGGCCGCGACGCCGTCTCGCGAACCGAAGACTGCCAATTCCTTAATCGACGTGTCAGGGTAGGAGGTCGATCAACCTCCGAAACATAAGAACAAAGCAGCTGTTCAAATCCAGCGTGGTATGCATCACGCCAGCTACACGGCCTACCATCATAAGCTGCCAAACTAGTATGGACGCCATCCGCACACTACGGAGTCTCGCGTCCTGGCTGGCGTCTACTGGCCCCTGCCGACGCTCACATTTGTGGTTGAGGATGGCCGCGTCGGATTACAAAGGGACGGGGCTCTTCCGCTCGAGACTTCTTCAAGACTCTGCCTCCCAAGTGTCACCAAACCTGTGCTCTCACATGGCGTCCCCAGGTCTCCGCCCCGGACTAATAAAACGAAGCATGGGCCGGACAGGGAGGGGGGCTCCCACTCAACGACTTCCTCGCGATCCACTCACAGACGAGCGCCCAGGCATCCTCTCGGCCCCGCTCGAGACGTCCTCGGGAGTCGGGCTCCCGGATGTCACCCAGCCTGTGTTTTTTTGCAGCGTGTCCCGATGACCGCCTCGGAGAACCGACATGAAGGGACCCTATGCAACGGGGGCTCCCGCTTGAGACGTCCTCTGGATTCACACACAGACGAATGAGCGCTCGAGACATCCTCGCAAGTTATCCAGGAACGAGGCTTTCGCTCGAGAGGTCCTGGGGCTTCAGGCCCCAAGATACACCAGACATATGTTCTTGAAATTATAATGATTGCCGCCTCGGATTACGAACATGAAATGCGGGCCCCATTGGGGGGAGGTCTCCCGACGAAGACTTCCTCGAGATTCACTCTCAGACAAGGCGCTCGCTCGAGACCTCCT